CTGAAAACCGTCTTATCACTAAAGGACTTCAAAAGGGTGATGTTTTCGTTTTCCCACAAGGTTTGATTCACTTCCAAAGGAACGTCGGTAATGGACATGCCRTTGCTATTGCAGCTTTGAGTAGCCAAAATCCGGGTGCCATCACCATTGCAAATGCTGTGTTTGGTTCTAACCCAGATATCGCTAGAGACATTCTTGCAAAGGCTTTTCAAGTGGACAAGAACGTTGTTTATCAAATTCAATCAAAATTCTAGACCCTCACGTGATCTAATGTCGGTTTTATTAACTTATAATCTTCAATTTCTTAATATTGGTTTTTTATTGTTATTATTAAAATGAATAAAAGAAATTTACATTATATTGAGTGTCATTTACATTTTCATTATTAAACTATTGCTGATCATAYGTAAGATCCAAACTTAAAACAATGGTATAGTTAATCAAGCATCCAATGATCCAACATTCGAAATGCATAGTTCTAAATATCCTTTGATATCTCCATCAACACTAAACCAACTTAACATTTGTATCAATTACAATGGTTGATTGGTAGTATCCTATCAAATATGTCTTCTTGGTTAATAGCTATTATTGGATGTCGTGTACCATGATGCTACCAYGGTCCCATTACTAAGCTGGTCTGGGCCGGGTCCATTTTGGCCATATCTAATCTCTAGTTGAATCTTGTAAAAAAATAAAAAAACACATAAACAAAAACAAACTCATTATATCCCTACTGTAAGTAGTGTCTGAGAAGTAAAATGCATGTTTGCTCGGTGGCGGATCCAGAAACTTTTATTATTGGGGGCACTTTTTAAGAGTGTCAAWTTTTTTTTGAAACCGAGTAACTCTTTCAAACCAATACAATTTTGGGTTATTCGGTTTTTAGCTTAAAGGTCCACTTTAATTGAATAAAATAACTTATTCATTAGTATTAYAGCAAACAAAACAAGAGAAATAAAATGAATTTGAATGGGTTGACASTTAGAAGTTAGAGGAAKTAGAGTTTAATTGATCAAATAATGACCCCTTCAAGTAAGAGTTCTAAATGAGATGACAAGAATTAGAATTGAGTCTAACTTTTATTTGTTCCGAACCTATTAATAGTTTTAGGTTAACAAAAATAAAAATACAAATAAACTACTCMTGGGGTTTGTTGGGGGCCTGTGCCCCCTACCCATTTGTTGTGAATCCGCCAATGTGTTTGTCCCCAGAGAAAAAAAGAACTTTTCCGAAAAAACCCGACTTAAATGAAATGTTGATGAATCATTAAATTGATAAAGTTTTCAGCATGGGTTAAATGGGTCAATAGTGATCGAGTTGTCCCAAATTTTCATTGTACATCATGTCCAACGATTACAAAAGAACACCTAATCCATTTATTAAGGAGAGAGAAATGAAAGATATAATTAATTAAGTCAATACTAAAAAATGTTGACCTCCCTTCAAATCAAAGAAGACAGAATTTTTTTTGGGACAACATAGGAACGAATTCACATATTAAGATAACGTTTATTACTTAAAGTGATTTAGGAATATTTTTAAGCCATTTACCCATTCGATCTCTTAGAACTAAATTTATTTCTTTTGCGCATTCAGTAATAAAAATAAATTCATTTTTAGAAACCCTATTTAAACCATTATTATTTCTAGCAGTGATCAAAACYCGACTACTTCAACCAACCTTGTCAATTTAATTCAATGTATAGTAACTCAATTTKAAGCAAACTGATCTCTCTGATGAATGATCACGTGAGAAGAGAAGTTATKGTGAGAAACGTAAGAAGAGATATAAACCACATGATGGGTGAACATGTGAGATTAATGTTCACAAACACATATAATCAGATGAACATGATGGGCTTTTTTTGGTGGGGATATATGTGCATAAGTGAATGTGAAYACATATGTATACAAAATGAGAAAGATAGTAGAATGTGATATACTTAATGTAACACRCCAAGATCACATTTGCATATAACCATGTATTTCATATATCAAAAATACAAAWTTACATCTTYSGTCCCAAACATACAAAAGCTATATTACAAARYAGCTAACTTTTCCACAAGATCTCTATACAATGTATGAATACATATCAAGCATTCAGAAACAAAAGAAGATTAAGCTAGCTCAAAAATCCATGCAAACATAATATAAGATTTCACAATTTCGCTTTCCCCTTGTCCTCTAGTTGTGCCCGATCTGTAATGCATATTTTTAAAACACAAAAAGAGGGTTAGACCTTGAGGTCTAGTGAGAAATCTCTTTGATACAATTATAAGGTGAATAATCACCAAATCACATTTTTAAACTCTTATTTGTAAAATAACAAATGTACATTTATTTAATATAACAAACCTAATTTATCGCATCAAAATAATCAAATTCTTTAATAAACACGTTTTTAGTCAACTTGTCACATTATATAGGTCCTCGCATGACAAATTAATATAATCCCATTTTTTCCCTCACAACACACTGGTGCGARGTCCACAATTTATCGCATCACATTAACACTACAAATATAATCTTGTCGCATCACTATCATGCGATGAACCAATTTGTCGCATCTCAAGGATGCGATAAATCTCACTTCTCGMATCATAGGAATCAATTCATCGCATCATACARATGCGATAACTCTAAGTTATCGCATCACACAGATGCGACAACCCCAAGTTAYCGCATCATAAGGATGCGATAATTATGAATACGTGATTCAAAATCCAKATTCTTATAACTCGATGATTATGCCACCCTTATCCYGGTATACACGTCTCYTTAATATGCCACYTTTATCCTGGTATACAYCTCTCCTTGATATGCCACCCWTATAACCTAAAATACACCTCTCTTTGATATGCCAYCCTTATAACCTAAAATACACCTCTMTTTGATATGYCACYCTTATTTCCRCACATGATATAACCATAACAAAACCCCACAATTTAKGCCTACTATAGCATCMAAACTGTTTTATGACGGAATCTCATATAAARAACCATATGGTTCTATACCCARTTTCCAAATAAGGAAAGTTCATAAAATTAAACTCACCTTATGTTCACGTAGATGAAGATGATATAAGGATAAATTAACACAAYAACAATTTCAAGTAGAAATCATAGAATCAAATTCTTCTTCCCCTTACAGTYCTCTTTGCTCTRCACACAAAATAACACACACAGAAGTTTATCAACTTTCTTTTTGTTACTTGCTTTTCCACCTCCCCATGAGATAAAAATATTTATATCATAATAATACTCTTTTAAAATAATGAAACGGTGGTTAAATATAATTTAAGCACATTAACACATCAAAACCGTCAACTATTTAACTCTTTTCAAAAGTTATCCCTAAAATTAACACTGAATACCCGGTTATCACACTTATGTTTTAAGGAGGAAATTCAAACTCATAAACCTTTTATATAATAATAAATTGTTAAAATTTAAACAAACAAAGTCGAAACTTCTGAGAACTATTACAACGACAAAGTTTTCTTTCATAGTGCCTTTTCAAAATTGGGCACCTAAATATGTATTTTAACCCTTCGTACAATTAGAGCCGAGCGTATATATTGTGATATTGGGTCTTGAATTCAATTTAAAAAGAGCAAAACTTTTCGACCAAATAAATTAATGCATAATAAACGTTCAACATTCCTTCAAAATAACTCTAAAATATGGAAACAATTAAAAAATGAAATTAGTTGAACGGATCATACCCACATTAATCATCTGTCTTTATTGAACGAGCAACATGATTAATTGAATGTATCCAATGTGTTGACATATTTGATGACTATATCATTGTGGTACTCGTTCTACATTTTTTTTATATTATTAAGGGCAAGAAGTCATTTATTAGTTTTTTAAATTTTGTTTTCACTATAAAAACATCACAAAATTCCATACTTTATCTCACATATTTCTCGAGCTACCAACGTTCATCAAAGAAAAACTTCACTTCTCAAAAAATGGCATCTCGTTTGTGTTTATTTAGTCTCCTCATCGCAAGTTGTTCACTTGCTATGGCTTCAGACCCAAGTCCTCTCCAAGATTTTTGTGTTGCTGCTCCAAATCCCCGAGGTAAAAAAATAATCTTGAAATGTTGAAAATGGTCCTACGTTTATGATTTGAAAATCTTCATGTGCTTATGATTTTTTTGCTTTTGTTGTCATAGTATTCGTTAATGGTGAATTCTGCAAAGATCCAAAGCTTGTGCAAGCAGATGATTTCTTTTTTAGGGGACTCCACCTTATGGGAGATACATCAAATGCGGTTGGGTCTAATGTGACTGTCGTAACTGTAGCAGAGTTACCGGGACTCAATACTTTTGGAATTTCAATGGCTCGTATTGACTTTGCTCCATGGGGTATTAACCCTCCCCACACACACCCTAGGGCCACTGAAATCTTGACGGTCCTAGAAGGCAATATTGAAGTCGGTTTTGTGACATCTAACCCTGAAAACCGTCTTATCACTAAAGGACTTCAAAAGGGTGATGTTTTCGTTTTCCCACAAGGTTTGATTCACTTCCAAAGGAACGTCGGTAATGGATATGCCGTTGCTATTGCAGCTTTGAGTAGCCAAAATCCGGGTGCCATCACCATTGCAAATGCAGTGTTTGGTTCTAACCCAGATATCGCTAGAGACATTCTTGCAAAGGCTTTTCAAGTGGACAAGAATGTTGTTTATCAAATTCAATCAAAATTCTAGACCCTCACGTGATCTAATGTCGGTTTTATTAACTTATAATTTTCAATTTCTTATACCGGTTTATTCTTGTTATTTTTGTTATATTTAAAATGAATAAAAGAAATTTACAATATATCGAATGTGATTTACATTTTCGTTATTAAACTACTCCTGATCATATGTAAGATCCAAACTCAAAACAAAAGTATGGTTAATCAAGCATCCAATGATCCAACATTAAAAATGCGTAGTTCTAAATATCCTTTGATATCTCCATCAATACTAAACCAACTAATGTATTAATTAAATTGCTACCAACTTAACTAGTGTTCCAACCGTGCATTGCACAGTAGTCATAATACCATCTTCAAAAGAAATTTTATAGACTAAAATTTGAAGTCCACTTCTAAAAAAATTTGATAGATGTGTGTGACAACTACTCATTAATATTAATTTTTTTAAGAGAAGTTGACCACAATATTAGAACAGTATGTTAATTTAAGTTATCTAACTATGCTCGAGAACTGTGTTACAAAGCAATCTACAAATGTTTGACTAATGTTAGTAGTTTGTTTAATTAGAAGTCACAGTTCTAACTGAAATCTCATATAAGGTGACAAAATTACGATGCTAATTTTGTAACAAATTTAATTGAAATCTCATTTGAAGTTATGAAAAAGAAACGTTCTATAGTATTTCAAGTGAAAATTAGAGGAGTACGTAAGTTGTAGCAACAATAGTGGAAGTTCAAGGCGATGCATGAAGAACCACATCACCAAACTAAGATAATGGATTTTTCCTTATAAAAAAATAAAATTAATATCAAGTGGGGTCGACCCACATATCATATATTAAATTAATAAAAAAAAGACTACACTTTATTGTAACATTCTATAATATTTGAATTGTAATTAGAGGGGTGCGTCAAACCTTGATAGTAGTAACAACAAGACGACAGATAAATAACTACATCACCAAGTAATATAATGAGCATTCTCATATAAAAAATATAATACCAAGCAAGCTAAAAACCCATATATTATATATCAAACTAAGAACATATAATACACTTGATCTAAACAAAAAAAAAAAACCTAAGATTCGAGATAGATATGTTAAACTAAAAACATATACTTCGTTTGATCTTAAGCAAAAGGTCGACATCCGAGAAAAATATGCTTGTTCCATTTTTAGTCATTTCTTTTTGTAGCAATCTCCCTCTTGCCACTTTCACTCCATCATCCTATGCGTTATGCAAACAATATTGAGAAAAAAGTTGGCCTTTTTCTTTTTGTATCCACCTCTCACATGCCTCTTTTTTCTTTGATCTAATGTGGGATGCAAACGATAATGTGAGGAAAAAAATAATTTATAATGCTTAGAAGTTGTCACATGATTATCCATGGTTATTGTTTTTATATAGATAAAAATAAAGATACAAAAATATGGATTATAGACATATAACTATTGTTTTTACAATTATAACTTCGACCAATTTTATGGTTTTGATTTATCGTCAACTTTATGCAATTTTTGTATTAATTTTTAATATATAATTTTTTTATTAAAGATGATTGGCTAAAAAAAAAGGGAAACCTAAAAATTGTACAAACTCTCTTAGTATTATAAGATATCTAACTCTTTTTTAAATATTCATTTCCTTATTTTGTATTATTTGGTTGGTTTTGATTTCAACCATGATTATATATTTGGTATTATTTGTTTGGTTCCTCCTTTAATATGTTATATTGATATTGACATTGGTTGATGATTGATTTTAAATTCATTTTTTTCCCTTCTTTCACATACTTACTCCCGTCTTCGAATATATCACATTCTTATTAATTTGCGGCTATACCTTAACATGTAACTTCTTTACATATAGGTTTATTTTATTTTATTTTACTTATAATCATATAATCAAGTTTAGTTAATATAAAAAGTTATCATAGATTCAATTAAAATTATAACAAACTAAAACAATCAATCAATTGTTCGTTATATTATTTTAAATTTTTTGATTCAACTTTATCATATAAAATATATACTAAAGCCATATCATTACCTTTCATTGTTATTTTAAAGTCCATCAATATAAAAGAAATGATATAAAAATAGGGTCACCCAAATAAGATACCTTGTGATCAAGCCCCATGAGTTGACACAATGAATTTCATCTTTCTTACTTGTACATATCTTCTTATTCCAATCTTTCAATCTCTCACCAATATGGGATATCTTAAACTCAACCACGATTCCCCAACACCTCAGTATTCAATTCTCATGATTTCACATCAATACCTCTTGGTTTGCACGGTGATCAAAACTCAATTTAAGAAAAAAATGTAAGATCCTCGACTCGAGCGGAAGTACGATGGGTCTGAAAACTCAGGATCGTGTTTATATTTATAATGTCTCGTCCAACACCGTAAATCACGATTTGGAGAATAATATAATCAGATGAAAGCACGTCATTAAGTCAATAATTTCATTCTATATATAAGTGATATAATAGATACTTAAACTACATTTGTTATTATAAGTACGACAATAATCACAACTTCTGTTAAGAAAAAAATGTATCATTTGCATCGTTTTGCACAAATCTTTTACCAATTGGTTTGGTTTTAATTTCAACCATGGCTATAGATTTCAAAGCTCTATCACGCATTTATATATCCATCATCTTCTTTCAAACTATCATCTGTCTACCAATGTGAGATGATGAAAATCAACCTTATTTGAGATTTAAGGAACACTCGAACCTCATGTTGCCAAGTCATTATCTTTGGTTTCACTTTTATATTTGCACTATACTTTTTACCATTTAGTTGGTTTTGATTACAACCATGGTATACATTTCAAAGATGGTCATCCAAAATAAGACAACCTTATGAGACAAACCCCATGATTTGACGCAAAAACATCCAATCCACCTTTTTTGTACACTTCAATTTGTTCAAATCTTTCAACTCTTCATAATTGTGGGATAACTAAAACTCAATCACAATTCACCATATGAGAATACTCAATTCTCATAGTGCCACCTCACTACCCCAAAGTTTTCTTTTATGTATATAAAGGTAAAGTTTTTTTTTTCCCATTTGGTTGGTTTTCATCCAAATCTTGGTTATAGATTTCAAAGAGGGTCATCCAAAGAAAGACAACCCTATGAGGCAAATCCCATGAATCGACACAAAGGCACCAATCCATCTTTTTATACATTTACTTTGTTCAAAGCTTTCAACTCTTTACCAATGTGGAATATCTCAAACTCAACCACAATTTACCATTTGAGAATGCTCAATTCTCATTGTGCCACCTCATCACCATAATGTTTTACTTTTATAATTCTCATGGTGCCATCTCATCACCCAAGGTTTTACTTATATATATATATATATATATATATATATATATGAAGATATAATAATAAAATATCATTAATTTTGCACTATAATTTCTACCATTTGGTTTGTTTGGTTTCTAACCATGGTTATAGATTTCAGAAAGGGTCATCCAAAGAAAGATAACCCTATGAGACAAACCCCATTATTTGACACAAAGGTATCCAATCCACTTTTCTTATACACTTCATTTTGTTCAAATCTTTCAACTCTTCAACAATCACTTTTAGAAAAAAAATGAATTAAGTAATAAAAGAAAAATGAACCAAATACATTTTTTTTTCTCTTCTCTGAAATTTACTACGAACAAGTGGGAGAGGCACGATTCGAACCTACATAGAAAAACTTCAACAAATTTACAATTTTGTTGCTTTTGACCACTTTCCCCTTCCCAGGTGAAGCCCTTCTCCCCATTTAAAAATAAATGCTCCCTAGACTTTTTAACCTTGAGGGGGATACTCAATGAGGGGTGGATTAGAGGGTTGAGTTTGGTGAGAAGCTTAAGAATGGATCTCCATTATTGGATGCACATTAGATTGAGATGTACGGAGATGCACCCAAAAGGTTTTTTTTTTTTTTTTTTTTTTGTAAATCCTTGGGATATTGAGGTAGCACCATGAGAATTGAGTATTTTCTCATACGGTGAATTTGATTTCAACCATGGATATAGATTTCAAAGCTCTATCACGCATTTATACAACCATCATCTTCTTTCAAATTATCTTCGGTCTACCAATGTGAGATGATGTAACTCAACCTTATTTCAAATTTGAGGAACACTGAAACCTCATGTTGCCAAGTCACCATCGTTAGTTTTCCTTTTATATTTGCACTATAATTTTTAACATTTAGTTGATTTTGATTACAACCATCGTATAGATTTCAAAGACGATCATCCAAAATAAGACAACCTCATGAGGCAAACACCATGATTTGACACAAAAACATCTAATCCACCTTTTTTGTACACTTCAATTTGTTCAAATCTTTCAACTTTTCATCAATGTTGGACAACTCAAACTCAACCACAATTCGCCATATGAGAATACTCAATTCTCATAGTGCAACCTCAATACCCCAAGGTTTTCTTTTATGTATATAAAGATAAAGTTTTTTTATTCCATTTGGTTGGTTTTCATCCCAATCTTGGTTATAGATTTCAAAGAGAGGCATCCAAAGAAAGACAACCCTGTGAGACAAACCCCATGAATCGACACAAGGAACCAATCCATCTTTTTATACACTTTACTTTGTTCAAATCTTTCAACTCTTCACCAATGTGGGATATTTCAAACTCAACCACAATTCACTATTTGAGAATACTTAATTCTCATTGTGCCACCTCATCACCACAAGGTTTTACTTTTATAATTCTCATGGTGCCACCACATCACCCCAAGGTTTTACTTATATATATATATATATATATATATATATAAAGATAAAATATAATATAATTAATTTTGCACTATAATTTCTACCATTTGGTTTGTTTGGTTTCCAACCATGGTTATAGATTTTAAAGAGGGTCATCCAAAGAAAGACAACCCTATGAGGCAAAACTCATTATTTGACACAAAGGTATCCAATCCACCTTTCTTATATCATTCATTTTGTTCAAATCTTTCAACTCTTCAACAATCACTTTTAG